TATTGCTATCTGAGCTCTCTATGATATCCAGAAGCGGTATTCAGCCGGTTCGTACCGGTTTAGACGAAACGGTAGTGGTGATCTGCGGGTTGGCCAGCCAACCCGCCTGGGGGCAATCCTGTCCTATATCACTGTGCTTTTGACATTACACCCAAGTGTGGACGGTGCACGTGAGCAAATTGCCATGTTTTGTGACGCCACATGCATGCGTGGATGGCGTACATCGGCAGTTCGGCTGTTCAAATCTCACCGGCTCAGGGTTGACTCAGCCTTCCATCCTTCCGAGGTGGGTAAAATGAGGACCCAGATTGTTGGGGGCGATATGCTGACTCTGGAAACCGCTTAGGGAGGGCTGAAAGCCCTATGAAGCGGTATATAAGTCTAACGGCTATTGCTATTGCTAATAGGAATAAGAATAGAACTTGAATAGGAATAGAATTGGAATAGAGTTCACTATTGTCCAAGTGTAATTGGACATACAAGGAATTTGTCTTCGGTACATAAGCTCTCAGTGTACATAAAAGCTGTAAGTGATTAAATCCTGACCACCATCATAAAAAGAAATTCGTCATAAATCATAAGATACAACCCAGTGGTAACAAGTGGTAACACACGGTTAACTTTCCCGTTAATTGCACACCTTGAATCAGACCATCAGGGGGTGGCGTTGTGTAAGGAGAGTAGTTCAAAGGGACAGCCCAGGAGACTTGAGTGAAGCAGCGCTTAAAACATTACACACCACAATTCCAAGCGGCACTTTGCTGTCATCGAGGTAATCCTTGACTTAACGACCACAAGGGAGCCCCAAATTTGTTGTTGCTAAGCGAGACACATTGGTTAAGTGAATTTTTAGGCCTCTTTCCACTTTTCTGGCCACACAAATCACTGCAGCAGATATTTAATCTAGTAACACTGTTGTTAAGTGAAGCAGGCTTCCCCATGGATTTGGCTTGTCAGAAAGTGGCAAAAGGGAATCAAGTGATCGCAACCGTTGTGGATATGAGTCAGTTGCCAATTGTCTGAATTTTGATCTCGTGACCATGGGGATGCTGCAACGGTTGTTAAGTGCAACGGTCATAAGTCACTTTTTTCAGTGCCGTTGTAACAGTCACTAAATGAACTGTTGTAAGTTGAATACTTGTGTTCTGGAAGGGCTCCTGCAACCCCCATGTTTTTCTGAACGGGCTGCGAGGGATGCATTGACTTGGGAAATGATGGATAGGTTCCATGAACAGATAGGTTATCTGGCACCTTCTGGATAAGTTGGAGTATGATTATGAACTTGTCCAGCATGGTAGAAGTTTAAATTTAAAGAATGCTCTGCACAATTGATTGAAGAGTTTCTGCTTCTGAAGTGTGGGCAGAGAAAGCTATACTTTTGAATAGCAAATATCTAAATCATTATATACCTAGAATAGCCATTATTTGAGACCAGTCTGCAGCATTGACAGGCATGCAGTGGCTCAGTGGCTAAAATGCTGAGCTTGTTGATCAGAAAAGTCATTAGTTTGGTGGTTCGAATCCCTAGCACCGGGTAACGGAGTGAGTTCCTGTTACTTGTCTCAGCTTCTGCCAACCTAGCAGTTCAAAAGCATGTGAAAATGCAAGTAGAAAAAATAGGAACCTCCTTTGGTGGGAAGGTAACAGCGTTCCGTGCGCCGTCGGCATTTATGCCGGCCACATGACCATCGGACAGTACTGGCTCTTCGGCTAGAGTTGGGAACGACTAGCACATATGTGCGAGAGGAACCTTTACCTTTACCTGCGGCATTGAGAAACTTGTATATGATCATCTTGATCTGCCTTTGAGGTTTAATGATCAAAATATCGTTTCCTGATTCATTACTTTTAAGCATATAAACTTCCATGATTTTAGAGCAGGGAATGATGGTCCTTTTATGACTTGTGATTTTCAGCTGCCATAATTGAAGTCCACAAGTCATAAACGGGCCACTGTTCTCCACCTCTGACTTAGACTATGGTAGATAATGGTTACTTTGAGCAGAACTCATAGTGGGTTTTAATTGTTGCAGGTATTTCAGCCATGCAGGAGGAGGAGGAGGAGGAATCGGAAGCAACCTCGGTATCTTCTGGAGACAGTAGCCCCGCGACCCCATCTGCCAATGGCTATCCTGGTAAGCGGACCAATCAGATCCTAGGAAGGAGTGTTACATCACAAGAAAGTTTGGGGCAGCAGTAGGAGAGATGTTCAGGTCTGATGTTGGGCACAGGCTCAGCTATTAAATTTATTGTGCTTGGGGCCGTAATCTGTAAAAAAAAGGCAATCAAAATACTACTTTATTACATTATTTCCAGCACCACCGAATACCGTATTTTTCGAAGCATAAGACGCACCTTTTCCCCTCAAAAAAGAGGGTGAAAATCTGGGTGCGTCTTATACACTGAATACAGCATTTTTTGCCTCCTGAAACCTCGCCCCCTTCACCAAAATGTCCGAGCATACTTTTTAGGCTTTCAGAGAGCCTAAAAATNGGGGCAAAACTCCCGTTCGAGCGTTTTAGAGCGACTCCCGGCCCGCTCATGCGCAGTGCCGCATGGACGAACCCGAGCCTCACGGCGCACGCGCGAGGCCTGAGGGGTTGGTGGGCGGGTCCTGCCAATATATATATATATATATATATATATATATATTTAAAAAATCCCCCCCCCTCTCTCCCTATCTCTGCGCTTGCGCAGCTAGGGGGGGGGTTCTGTGGCCGGAGGGGACCAGGCTGCCCCTCCCCAAATCCGGAGGAACCGGTGAGTGGTAGGCTGCGCAAGGCATTGTGGGAAAGGGGTAGCTTCCCTCCTCCCCCTGCTTCTACTTATTCTTGGCTCGCGGGCCCTCTTTTTTTTTTTTTCCTTCTCCCCAGCCGCGGTGCATGATGGGATCGTGGACTCCGCCGTGGTCCGCTGGCGGCAGAGCATGCTGGGAAAGAAAGGCCGGGGCCGCTTTATAGCGCTTGGCTTGGCTGGCGGGGACAGTGGGGCAGGCCTGGCTGTTATGGGATGGGGCCCCGGGAGAAGAGGGGGAGCGGGCGGGCGGGTGGACAGGCTCCCCGCCATCTCTCTCTCTCTCTCTCTCTCGTGTCCCGCTTCTGCTCCCCTTGCAGGTTGGGGCCGCTGGCTTGTTTGAGGGGTGATGTCCGAAGTACCCAAGCCGGTGGAAGTGGGCAGCTCTGAGGACATTGGCTTTGAGGAGGAGGATGGGACCTCGACTGGTGAGCGCACAGGCCAGGCGGAGCTTGGGGCTAGGGGGTCCCTGAGCTCGCCTCCCCCCCCCCCGAAAAAGAGGCTAAGAGGCTCCTCCTGGGGAGCGTGTCACGGACACGAGTGGCCCTGGCTCTGTGTGTGTGTGGAGGGTGCGTTTCTGGTAGGCCGAGGGGGTCCTCAAAATCTCAGCAACGTGGGAATCGTCCCCCCCACCCTCCGTGCAAGCTCTTTGGAATTGCAATAGCAATAGGAATATAATTGGAATAGGGGTGGAATTGGAATAGAATTGGAATAGAATAGAATTGTAATAGGAATAGAATAGAATTGGAATAAGAATAGAATTGGGATAGAATTGGAATAGGAATAGAATTGGAATAGAATTTGAATAGGAATAGAATTGGTATTGAAATAGAATTTGAATAGACTAGGAATGGAATAGGAATAGGAATAGAATTGGAATTGGAATAGGAATCTCTATATATATGCCAAATACCACTCAGACACCATGAAATCTTCAGAACCGTAAAGTCTACAAACCTGAAATTTGGCACATATGCTCCTCTTGGCTTCTAGGTGCTCGTTAAGAAAGGATTTTTCGAAATGACCGTCTGATCATTAGTATTACTTATACAGTATTAACACGCTCTGATGCTAAGGAGTTAGACATTCTACTCCCCCTCCCCACCTGAGAAGAACTCTGTCCCAACTGCCAGTTGCCTCACATTCTGTTACCTGAGTTCAAACCGGCAGATGTTCCACTCCTTCACTCAGGAGCGGTCTGGGGCTCCTTACAATTTCCCTCATGAGTTCCAATCACCGACTACCACTGAGCCAATGGATTGTGAATCGAATTGCTCCTGCATAGTGTCCCAGCCCCAACTCACTTCTTACACTGACCTCCTCAGTCCAGATGAATCTGTTCCATCTACTGTTACACCAGTTAAAGGGAAAAGAGGGAAAAAACACAGGAAAAGATTTACAGATGCGATTAGGAAAACACAAGTAAGGGAAACTCCAAAAAAGTATCGTCATCCCAAAGTCAATGGAGAGGCTGTAGAAAAGTATGCATCTAATGACCGTTACGTTAAATATGAACCTCAGAGTGATTACTCCAGGGGAAAGGTGGTTGAGCTCGGACCTCGGTTACCCTATGCCTGGTGCTGTGCAGGATGAGACTCCCGGGATGTGCTACAGTGGCGGAAAAGTCCAACTCCCTCCCCTTGAGTTCTCCCCTTACACTGCCCGATTACGCCCGGCCACATAGTTTTGTAGTGAAGCACAGGTATCCAGCTATTAGAATATAATTTGAATAGGAATAGGAATGGAATAGGAATGGGAATAAGAATAGAACTGGAAAGAGCTGAGGTGGCGCAGTGGGTAGAGTGCAGTACTGCAGGCCACTTCAGCTGACTGTTATCTGCAGTTCGGCTGTTCAAATCTCACCGGCTCAGGGTTGACTCAGCCTTCCATCCTTCCGAGGTGGGTAAAATGAGGACCCAGATTGTGGGGGTGATATGCTGACTCTGAAAACCGCTTAGAAAGGGCTGAAAGCCCTATGAAGCGGTATATAAGTCTAACTGCTATTGCTATTGCTATTGC